CACTGAATCAGGAGATAATTGTCTGCTTTGTTATTAATGGAATCTGATCGTTGTCAGTAAAATATGTTTTTGTGATTATCTCACAACCTAATGGTCCAATTTCAATGAAATTATTTTTATTTTATAAAGGTAATCCAGACTTACAGAACAAAAAAAAGTTCATCAAAATTGGATTATTAGATCATATGATAATTATTTTTATTATTTGCACCAATTTCCCCAATTTTACATAGTAGGACACTGCTGATCTTAACCGAATTAGCAATTAAATACTTTATATTGATCTTCTGAAAATATCATTGAAGAAAGACTACTTGAAGGATTAGGTTGTTTTAATAAATTAAATAATTGGTTTCTGATAATATGCTGTAAATTTGTATGTAATGAAGTTATTAATTTATCAATTAAATTCTGATAATTTTTTGTGTATTTTTGAATATTAGTTTGCATTGAGTTTTGCATATGAGTTAAGGTCAATGAATATTCAGTAGGATATTTAGCTTCAAAATGAGCTTTATAAGTTGGATAAGAATTTTTTAACTCAGCTTCACTTTGAGCAGGTAATCTGAATAGTAATTGTTGATAAAAAAATGATTCAGAATGTTGAATAGTTAAATGTTGAAAACGTACAAGAATTTCTTTTTGTCGTTTTTTTATAAACCAATTTTTTTTATCAATATAATATATTCCATTAGCTGGTTGATTTTTTTGAATAATATAATTATGATGATATAAAGGATATGTTAAATTATTAAATATATTATCAGATGGACGATCAAAATATTTATCAATTGCATCATCCCAATATGGAGATAATTGTTCTTCTTGTTGTAATAAATAAGGTGGTTTAACAGATTTATTTCTTATTTCAGAAGGAATAGAAGGAAGAAATTCAACAGCAATTGATGATCGACATATTGAATATCCAAGTAAAAGAATCATTAATTCCATTGAACCAAGACGTCTGGCTAAAATATGTTTTCTATATGCATCAGCTTCAAAAAGATCAAAATATTCTGTAGATTCTGATTTTGTAACATATTTTGTCATATATTTTGCAAATTGATGTGTTGTTACATACTGAAAATTTACATGTCCATTCCATAAAAACAGAGTTGGTGCATGATATGGAATAACATATAAATCTTCTTCTTTTGTACGACGATAAATATATCTTAAGGAATTAGGATCTTCATATGTAGTATTTGAGTAAGGTTGTGGAAATCCTTTTTTACATCGTGATCCAGATAGAGCAGGACCACTACAACGTGAATCACATGTATGAATTTGATGTTTTTTAACTAATTCATATAATTCTGGTTCTAAATTAGAATCAGGCATATCTGCTCTAATAACATTAGAATCAATTAATTCAGGGATTGATTTAGACAAATAGGCAATACCATGTGTATGTATTGCTTCACGATTTTGAAATTCATCTCGTTCAAAATAATGTAACCAATTACCCCAATTTGTTAGATTTGGATTTTTCCAAAGAGATTGATGCATTGATGATAAACGGTGATGATAATGTAAATAAGTATGAAAAGGACGATTAAGAAGGTAAAGTATCTTTATTATCAGTTTTTGATAAAATTTTATGCAAATGTGGCCAATGATTTTCAGCCATTGTCATAGTATAAAAAATTTGTGGAAGGCCAAATCCCTGAACCATTGTATTAATATGATGTTCTTTTTGCTGAAAATAAGAATCTCCTGTTCTTATATAGGAAGGTACAGTTGTTGTTTTACTTTCATCAATAATAAGACGTCCAGTATAAATACTATTAGTAATAAAATCTGCAGTTGTTAATTGATTTGATTGAGAAATATTATGTTGATTTAATATGCGAGTTCTATTTTGATGATTTCTTAATTTTTCAAGTGTTAAATAAATATAATGAGGCCAATACCAAGATAAACGCCATCTAGGATCAGGACAAAGTAGTAAAGATTTTGCATAATTGCCTAAAGTGTCTATATTTCGTCTATTTGTATTTTTATCATTTAAATAAAAACCTTTTCTATATGGAAAAAGATCAGGAAACAGAAGTGGTTCAATATTTTTATCATAAAATGGTATTGGTAATTCCTTATTATTAGGGTCAGTTAAAAATCCTGCCATTAATCGAGAATAATAATAATCTTCATTATGTATTTCTATATCAAAATCATAAGGAGGTAATACTACTGCAGAAGGTCGAGAATTTATATCAAATATAGGTTGTTCTTGAGTTTGAGAAAGATTACTAGGTAAAGCAATTGGAAAAATGACTGGAGGTCCATCCCAAGTACCACAGTTAATTAAAGTTTTATATGGTTTAAAGTACGGATTATTATCACATAACCATGTTGCTGCATTATCAAGTGTAGGATGATACCATGAATTTGAATTATTATTGGTTAATATAGCACCAACAGTACCAGAATATAATGCAAGAGCATTAATATTTTTTGAATAAATAAAAGTACCAGTTAAGTGACGATAATTTGAATAAGCATTACTATTTGGAGTTCGGCCTAATGAACAGCTAAGATGAATAGGAGAAAGATAGATATGGTGATATGGAGGTATATCTTGAATTTCAGCTGGAACAGGATCAGGAATTGGTATATTAAATCGGTTATTAAAATTATAGCAAGAGGAACATGTTGCTATGCGTTTAGGTTTAGAATCATCAGTATGGAAAACTAATTTAACTTGTGTACAGTCAAACCTTGATATAGCGAACCCTTGATATAGTGAATTTTTCAGACAATTATAATAAATTTCCCCTCGCTATAACGAATTAACCAATCAAATCTCTTAAAATCTTCACTATAGTCTTATAGCGAAGTTGAGGTCTGAACCCTAGGGTTCATTATAACAAGGGTTGACTGTATTGTTTTGATAAACTTTCTCTAAAGGGTATTGAATAGTATCATTGTATAACTCCCATTTTGCTTTTGTTGGATATTGTAAACGAGAACAGTAACTACATGGAACACATGGATACTGGGTAAGAATATCTTTATCAAATCAAGATTTTAAATTAAATAGTTTTGTAAAGGGTTGCCAGGGTGGAAAATAAGCTCTAAAAGTTACATTTGAAGGTGAAAAAGAGGATTGGATTGGAGCACGAGAATGGTCTGTATTGGCAGTTTGACGTACTGCAAAACTTGAAAATAAAGAATTATCAAAGTTTTCATAATCAAAATAGGAATCAGATTCATTATCTGATAATTCAATTCTCCAACGATTGATGTTTAAATCCATAGTTTTTGAGAATTTTTTTGTTTCAAGTTTTTGAGAATTTTATTTGTTGCAAGTTTCTGAGAATTTTTTTGTTTCAAGTTTTTGAGAATCTTTTTTATTTCAAAACTGAGATGAATGTAAGATTATTTTTGTTCTATTTATAATAATTTAAAATATTTTATTATATCACTCAAGCAAAATTGAATGGCGCAATAAATTAAAGATTGACCGAATGGGTCGGGTCAGGTCGGATATACCCGGCCGAACACCTGACCTGACCCGATCAACGGTCATATTTTTATTAATAACTTTATACATATGTATTACTATACAAATTATATATCATATACATGAAAGTAAAATACTTAGTCTAATCTAAATTTTTGACTAAACTAATAAATTTAACTAACAATAATGTTTTATCTAATCATTATTTTTGTTTTCTAGTAAATGTGATATAAAAAAAATGTATCCTTTGTCAGTAGTATAATCATTCAGAATTCTGAATAAAATACTGTATGTGATACAAAGAACTTTATAAGAAAGGACATCTTGCTTCTTTTAATTAATATTTGCTTTATAATATGTAGAATGATAACTTTAATTAATTTCACACCTGTTAGAAGCAGTTCAAATTTTATTTAATGAACTAAGAACAAACTGAATTAACATTAAAAAATTCTCCAGATTCCTCTTTTAACGGTAACTTATTTTTCGTCTTATCCCATTCCACTTTTTGTCTCATAAATCTTTAATAATATCTACCACTTGATCTGGAGAAGTAAAAATCCTATAGACAAAAACCAGTTCTTTTTTGTATTAATTTTTCTTATTTAGAGAGACGATTTTTAATTAGAATTGGAATCGTTTCTTTTTTTTAATTAATTAATTTTATTTTAAAAATGATTACTTATTTAAAAGCTAAAAATATTACTTTTCAAAATCGAATTGGATAATAACGCAACTAAATTATGTATTGATATAATTTGGCTAATATTACTGAGTCATCAGATTTTAAAAACTAAAATATCATGTTATACGAACGGCGCAGCAGAATGAAATTAGAGCCGAAATAGTGACATAATTTTGCTGCGCCAATTTTATTTGTTTTAACGAGAGAAAAAAAAAATAAATAGTAAAAAGAATGTTTTTGATAATAAGAATGTGTTTGATTTCATATTTGATTTTAAAATCAAACAGCGCAGCAAACGAAATTAGACAAAATTGTGTAAAAGACATGTTCAAAAAACACGTAAAGAAAATATGCAAAAAAAAGTAAAGTTATTGTGGGTAGAAATTTTTTTTTTTTTTTATTATAAATTGTGCGTAGAAATTTATTTATTTTATTATTATAAATAATAAAACCAAGCGAAATTAATAATGGCGAAGCTTGAATAATGAGGTAATGATGGCGCACCCAAAAAAAATTAGATAATAATGAAGTAATGATGGCGCAGCCGAAAAATCAATTAATAATATAGTAATGATGGCGCAACCAAATGAAATTAGATAATGATGACATAATTTGGCTGCGCCATTATAACATAATATTTGCTGAATAATCAGATTTTAACTATTTAGATTTTTATTTTCAGAGAAAAAAAAAAAGGAAAAAAATTTTATTTTTTGTAGAGAAAAAAAGAAATTTCGAAAAAAATTTATTATTTTTTTTAGAGAAAAAAAGAAATTTCGAAAAAATTATTATTATTTTTTTAGAATGCTAGTAATATCATATAGGTTTATTAGAGATAACGGAATTTTTTACGCAAAATGGTGGTATTGTGATTAATGGAAGCTTTATTTTTTGGCCTTTTGACCTCTTCCACCTCTTCCGCCTCTCCCGCCTCTCCCGCCTTTCCCACCTCTACCACTTCCTTTTCTATCGTATGTACATTCTAATCTGAAAGGATTATTACCAGGATCATTACCAGGATCATTACCAGGATCGTTACTAGGATCGTTACTAGGATCATTACCAGGATCGTTACCAGGATCGTTAGCAAGATCGTTAGGATCGTTATCAGGATCGTTATTGGATTCTTCTAAATTACATAAATCTGATAATTTGCGTTTTTGTGATCTATAGGTAGGAGTGGGAGATGAATGAGTTGTAGAAGGGTTCGTTCTTGATGATTGATCTTGCTTCTCGGATTCTTTAAATTTTTTGTAATAAGAGACGAACTTGGATAGTTCATCGTTATCGGTAGTAGGTTGGACGGCTGGCTTATCATCATCAATAATGATCGAATTTCTCTTGTTAGAGTCGTCAAATTCTCGTGTATCATCTATAATTATCGAACTTGTTCTTGGGCTAGAAACAGATTTTGAAGTTGATTCATTTCTTTTCAGTGCAAATGTATTAACTTGTTTCCTTGGAGTTGTTGTTATAGAAGTTTGGTAATTCGGGTGGCGAAACCTTACATTGTAATCAATTAGCTTGGCGTCAATTTGGGCATATGTCCTATCATTTGTTGAATAGATAGCTTCGAGAAAGCCGACAACAAAAAAATTGGCGTAATCACTCCACTTGTCATTGAGAGAATCTAACCATCTTGCGTCTTTTGAGTAACCTACCTCGAAATTAATATAGCAAGCGGTTTGGTGAAATGGAGAATAGATTAACGAACGGGTCTTAACAAAATTCATATCCTCGTAAGAAGTTAAGGGCTCTTCTGCAGACGTTGAGATATTTACAAATAGCTTCGTTGAAGGAATTTGCGTCGGTTCCCACTTCAGATTTTCACCGTTTGGCCCTACTTTCGGATCCATTACACAAACCATCTCGACGACAAGCTACCCACACGCAAAAAAATAAGTATTTTTTTTAATTTTTATGGTTGTTTTAGCTACAAAAAATGCAATGTTACTGACCATTAATTTTTTTCATCTAGCGTAAACTTCCCACCGAAAAGAACTAAATCTCCCTCTCTGAACTGCTCATTATATTCGTGACGAGCATTAATGAACTGTTTGAAGGTGAAAGTGTGAGTCTGGTTTGATATTTTTTTCCTGTACAGGGCGTCTCCGTTTACAGTATGGGTTGTTGATCTCAACCGGATGACAAGAGCAATTACCGATAGTGTTGATGTCATTATTTTTATTTGAAATTTCTTCGTTAGCGAAAGAGAGAAGAAATGAGTTTTTGAAAATTCACACTGGTTAAAATAAGGAGAAAAGACATTCCATCTGGCAGTTATCCATATATGTGAATTAGCGTTTCAGTTTGTTTAAAAAAGAAATAATTAAATACGCACTTTCCTAATTTATTATTTAATTTGTATAATTTTAGATTTTTTGATATAAAATCATTATTACAACTATGCCATTACTTTAATGACGTATAATTTTAGATTTTTTTTTAATATTATAACTGCGCCACTATTTTTATTGGTGAATTTATATTTTTTGTAAAAAAGAAAAAAAAGAAAAAAAAAAATAGAAATTAGAGAGAAAATAACTTTTTTTTTTTAATGTGTATATTTTATTAGTTTAGATAAATTATTTTAGACAAATAAATAAGCTAAAAATAATGAAAAATTTTTCGTGTGTAAAGTCTAATTTGGATTGACAAAATTATGTAATTAACTTGTGATCTCCTTAATTAACAGTAGTTTTCAGTAACACAGGAGAAAGTTTTGCAAAAAATTGCTCTTAGAATGTGTTCATTAACATTAACATGTTCATGTCATAAACAATAATATGAACATGAACATGAACATGAACATGTACATGTACATGTACATGTACATGACAATAATAATATAAAAGATTAACTGAAGACTTTTTTACCAAAAAGGCAATTTTTTTTGTATCCACGGCAACTGTGCATGTGGTGATTTTTAAAAATGGAATGGGAAAATTTTGGCGAAAATCTGGCCAAAATGAGATGATCGACTAAAAAATTTTCCCATTAAAGATAAAAATTGCCAGAAAATCTTATCTTTGTGTTAACATTACAGCACGTGTCATTAGTTTGATAACAGTAATAGAATAAATCTACATAACAATAATACAAAACTAAACACCTAGAATATACTAAAAATTACTATATTCCTGATGAACCAGGATAACTAAACAAAAATAACAGAAAAAATAAAAAAAAATCAACCCATTTGGGCGAAAATAAAAGAAAATATTTAAAAATAAAATAAAATAAAAAAGAAAATTATTTGAATAGTATACTGATTAATACGAACTATAAAATCCAAAGGTTCTATATTAAAATATATATTATTCAAAAGCCCTTCTACCTTTTGATAGACTTTATGATTAATATCTTTTTTAACTATATTTTTATCATAACTATAATGTTTTTTATCTTCTTCAGTAACACCTAAAACTTTTTCTTTGTCTTTTTGTAAATCACATCTATCGACCAAATCTTATGTGTAGAATCAAAAACGAAATCTAAAAATTTGACTCCAGTTTCGAATATATGAACTTTAGTCATTTTAATTTCTTGTCGTAAGAAATCAGCTAATAATTTAGGAAATAAGCCTTTAATAATATCTACGAAAGTTAATTTATTATTATTAACTTTAACTTCGCCAAAGGATTCGTTTATAAATAAATCAATTATTTTAGCTTTATCAAAGGTATATATATTGTATTCTTTAATTTTTTCAATTAAACATATAATCGAATAATATATAATATTTCTCATTCTTTTACGATTTGAATAACAGCGCCAAACATGTCCAAAAGTTTCTTTTTTACATTCACAGACAGGACATTTCCAATCCTTATATATATCAAAATTAACCAATTTTCTTTGTTCTACAGTCGGAATTTCTTCAATTAAATTCTTAATTTTATAACGACGTTGAAGGATGCACCTGCCACATGCATGATGCATCGCTCATTATACATGAAAACTCATGTATTGGATTAGTATCTTCATAACGTTACAACATTTCATTAGCTTGGTTTAGTGATTCATTTTTCAGGGTCAAATAAAATGTTGTTCTTTCGGACTAATAAAATCTAAAAGATTTATGCCTTTTACAACTTTCAATAAAAGAAACAAAGTAAAAGTAATTCATAATTTGTTAATAATAATAAATTCATCAAATTCAAAATACAATAATAAGGGTAAAAATCTTATCAATTCACTTTTCTTCAAAATTATCTGTTCAAAATTTGTTAGTTTATTCAGATCAAATAAATGTCTGTTAAATAAGATTTTCAATTACCCTTGAACTCATATGACTTATCTATTCTAATTGGTTACAGTTTATCCTCATGTCCAGGAGTTGGATCATTACAATAACTCCATTGTAGACAAATAAATACAAATTGTTGATCATTAGTATCTTTCATCAATGTTGATCATCTGGGTCACTCAACATGTGACTTACTGCGTCTATTAACTTTTCATATTATTTTCTATACGTCTAAAATACTAAGATACCTACGCCTAATTATTAATTAATTCTCTATCTAGTTCTGTATACTACAACGTCGTTTAGTTGTGTGAAAATTAGTTTGTAAAACATTTTCATTTTCCTTTAAGAATTCGAACGTAATTGCCCATTCTACGCTATCTATTGTATATTTTCGATTTCTTCGAAGATTAAAAAATTTTTCTAAATTTAAAATTTCATTATAATATCGTATGAAACGTCTAATCAGTTTTTCAATAATAATATTATTCCATGTAAGCATATATTTGATTTTATCGAGTTGAAAAAAATTAAAATTAACCGAATATACCCTATTCCTATCTGAATAATGATCTTTAATTTTTTGATCTAAAAAATTATGGTATAAATCATCATCATATGCTTTGATTTTAGTAATTTTTGGTATAATTATTTCATTTAAATCTATAAATTGTCGAATTAAAGCCCAAATATAAATGTTATTCTGTGTTTTTATTAATTTGTGTGTATTATAAATTTCTGTTTTGCATATAATTTCATTAAAATAATTAAGAATAAATTCATTATCTGTAATTATCTCGACATTACTAATATTATGAACTATAATCAACGTGAGTATAAAACTTGTCACTTCTGCTTTACTTGGAGAAATCCAATGTTCAATATTAACGTAAAATTCATCAATTAATTTATGATCTTTATCATAAAAATGTAAACCAGCTATACCATCAATATTTTCTGTCCCATTATTTATAACAGAACCATCTATACATACAAAAATTCATTCTCCAAATTGTTGGATTAATTTGTAGTTAATAACATTTAACTTTTCGATCGTTAAGTTCTTATTAAATTTTTCTTTTTTAATATATTTTTCTATACAATTCTGCATTGATTTTTGCATATTGGAATCAAAAATATTTAATCTAATATCATCTTGTTTAAAAAGCGTTGGTTGTATAATAAATTTATGTTTATGCCATATATTTGACTCAACATGTAATTGAATAATATCTGGTACTATATATGAATCAGTTTCATGTATTATCATTGCATGTGAATGTAAATAATTTTCAAGAAAATAAACATCTTCTATTCTCAATTTAACTAAACAATTACTTTGCTTATGTATTCTTTCGAGGGGACCAAGGGTGCTTGTTTCATCCAAAAAACATCCTAAACATTTTTTTAAACCCATAAATAAATCATCTGTATTATTAACCTTTATATAATGTTCCAATACTATATCGTTAGATCCTAAATTGTAATTTTTACCATAAACTAAAATTATATCGTTATGTAACTTCTTTTTTCCAAAAATAAAACCATTATTTATAGGTTCTGAGTCTGAATTCATTTTAGTTAGAATTGTTCCTTTTAAATTATGAGCGAAACTAGTGCCTATTTTATTCTTAGCTTCAATAGAAATTCGTCTCTTTATTACTTCATTGTTATCTAAAATACAATCTTCTATAATTTTCCAACTTTTTTCAATTAAAGATCTATTTGGACTAAAAAATTTTTTAAATCGTTTTCCCAAAATTTCTTTTAATGTTAATAAATTTTTTCCATCTAACGTTAAAATTTGATCTGCAAACATAATATTGAGTTTTTTTATTGATCATAAATTTTTGAAATAAATTTCTTCAGGTAAAATATCTTTAATTAAAATATTCCCTCCAATTATTTCCATTTTATCTATCGTATCGTTAATAGCAATGCTAAAATTTTGAGTCTTTAACATTTTGATACACTCTAATATATAATGATTTTTTAATTGCGTCGTGAAAATTTTCTTATATCTAATAATATCTTTTTATCGTAATGAATAAATAGGATTATCGTTTAAAAATAACAATTGTTGAAGATTATATAAACGAATTTTTGTGATCATTCCCAATTCATTTTTATCATTAATTTGTAAGATAAAATTAGTCGTTTTTGCTTGTAATTGATTATCCTCAATATTTTTAACATTAAACATCTCTTTTAAGTGAACTATTGAATTTGGTGTAGTTTTCATAAATTTTAACTTATGTTTAAATAAAATACGAAATTTTGCCATAATTTTGTTACATTCATGTTCTGATAAAATAATTAATTGTGCCCTATACTCGATTCTTGGAATAATTAAAACATTAAAGATAAAAGCCATTTGTTTATCTGTTAATTTTTTTCGTAAGATCATTGAATCGCAGCAATTATTAATTTCATTTTTAATTTGATCAATCACATGATTTCTTCGATTAAAAGCGTTGAACCAAACTCCTAGTAATCTAATTGATCCTTTTTTACTAGCAGGTTTAATATTGACTATCAATTTTCCAAAACTCAAAGATATCGATTCGGGGATATATTTTTTTCTTAATAATAATTCTGATTTATCCTTATTGATTTTTATATCATTAAGATTATAAAAGTTGTCAGCAATTGATAAAATTTTTTCTAAATTTTCCTGGTTTCCAGCCATGAAATTTGTATCATCCATATACGCTAAACCTGAAAAGTTAAAATTAATCTTTTCTTCGACATTTTCATAAATATTATTAACTTTAACACCATCTATATCATATCCTAGATTTGAGTTCTTAATTTTTGTCAATAAAGGATCGTAGTAAATAATCCACAAAAGCGGTGAAATTATTTCCCTTGATCAATCCCGCATTGCATATCGAAAGCGTCTGTTAAACCAAAAGGTGTAAAAACTTTGTTTTTCCGCCCAATCGATAAACCTGTTAATAAATTAATTAATTCTACTGGAAATTTAATTCTTTTCATCGCTTTTTCAAGCATAAAAACATTAATCCGATCATAAGCCTTTGACATGTCAAGAGCAAAAATCCATAATTCTTTATCATGTTCATTACTATGTTGAATTATCTCATTAATTATTCGTAATGGTTCAAAAGTTGAATTTAGGGGTAAGCCCGCGTATTGATATCCTTGTAAAATTTGATGTTCTACTATTATCTTCGAGATACGTTTTGTAATTATTTTCATCATAACTTTTCTAGCAGTTTCCAATAACGTGATTGGTCTAGTATTATTTAATCTATACCCCCAAGGTTTCAGCTTTGGGATCGGATATATATTTGCTAGTTTCCAGTCTTCAGGCATTATTTGAGTACGTAAAACTTCATTTATAATATCTCTTAATAAATGATTAAATTCTGACAGAGCTTTCTTAATTTCATCATATGCAATTCCTGTTGGCCCCACTGCTTTCTTAATTGGTAAATCTTTGATTACAATATCCCATTCACCATCTGTTATTGGTTCAAGACAATTATTATAAATTAATTCATTAATTGATCTTATAGGTTCATATTCATCAGACCACTCTAGTAAATCATCTATTGTACGATTTTTCGAACCTACTGCATTTTGAAAATGATCTTTAGTTATGTCTTTGATTTTATTTTCATCAGTAACTAAAATACTATTTCCATCTTCGTCATCAATCAAGACTCTATCTATAAAAATTTTTATCATTTCATTTTCAGTAATATTATCAATCATTCTTCGTTGATTATCTGCTAAATCTGCACAACGTTGAAGGATGCACCTGCCACATGCATCGCTCATTATACATGAAAACTCATGTATTGGATCAGTATCTTCATGACGTTACAACATTTCATTAGCTTGGTTTAGTGATTCATTTTTCAGGGTCAAATAAAATGTTGTTCTTTCGGACTAATAAAATCTAAAAGATTTATGCCTTTTACAACTTTCAATAAAAGAAACAAAGTAAAAGTAATTCATAATTTGTTAATAATAATAAATTCATCAAATTCAAAATACAATAATAAGGGTAAAAATCTTATCAATTCACTTTTCTTCAAAATTATCTGTTCAAAATTTGTTAGTTTATTCAGATCAAATAAATGTCTGTTAAATAAGATTTTCAATTACCCTTGAACTCATATGACTTATCTATTCTAATTGGTTACAGTTTATCCTCATGTCCAGGAGTTGGATCATTACAATAACTCCATTGTAGACAAATAAATACAAATTGTTGATCATTAGTATCTCTCATCAATGTTGATCATCTGGGTCACTCAACATGTGACTTACTGCGCCTATTAACTTTTCATGTTATTTTCTATACGTCTAAAATACTAAGATACCTACGCCTAATTATTAATTAATTCTCTATCTAGTTCTGTATACTACAAAATTCCCCCGCTAATGAATATTGTGTCCTCACAATACTCTCAAAATTAATTAATCCCTAATTGAATCAAACTCGGGTCTCAATCAAATCTAAATTCTCTCCTATCCACCACTTCCTCTCCTTTAATTAATATCCTTGGTTCAAACTTTAACCTATCTCGATATTTTTTTAGCCATTTACCATTTTGTGGTATTTTCAGAATTTGTCCATTCAATTCTCTCAATTGATATGATCCATTCAATAGTTTTTCATGAATTACATATGGTCCTTTCCATTTTTCTTGTAGTTTACCTGACCATTGTTTTTCTCTCCATGCTTCATATAGTAATACTTTGTCTTCTACTCCAAATTCTTCTTTTATTCTATGCTTCTTATCACCTGTGCTTTCGTTAAATTTCTCTAACTTTGAATCTTATCTTCGGTAATTCTTCGATTAACATTTTTACTCTTTTCATCATGGTCATCTTATTTAAAGATGTTAGCCGTAATTGATTGGCCGATGCTGTAATATTACAGCATACAGCATTACAGTTATGACACTTTTCGTAATACTGTAATTAGGCCGTAATGCTGTAATTGGGTCGTAATGCTTTAATTAGGTCGCAATGCTATAATTAGGCTGTAATGTCAATTTTTAATGGCATAAAAATTTAAAATAAAAGTAATGAATTATAAAAGTAAATTACAATAGTTTATATGTCGTGTAATTTTAATTTTTAGGGGTACATAAGACGCGTCGCGTTTTTTTTTGTATTTTGTATACGCGTTCGTGTAAAGAAAAAAATTATATAATGAACCAAAATCCCTAGGAGTGGGTGTTGGGGGTGGAAGGTGGGAAATATTAAGTTTTTTTCAAAAAATTTATATTAAATTAGCATAATATCTTTAATAATTAGATGATTTTATGCATAATTTACATATAAACTTTTTTACAAAAAAAAAAA